CGCCACTTGCTGGGTCGGAAATTGGAGAGTTGGGTTCGCGAGCGAGGATTTCCGCGGGTGCTTCTGCGGCGCCGCCGAAGAGGATTTTCAGTGCTTCGCTTGCCGCGTCGCCGAGGACGGCGAGCGGCGGATCGCTGAGAGCCAGATCGAGGGCGCCAAGCAGATCTTCGGGGCCGTCGCCGAGATCCCTAACGATAGAACGCGGCTTTGCTTACTCTGACCAGCCTCGTCGCCGCCCCGCGCTCGTCTGGGCAGAACGCTCGCCGCTCAGGTGGCGGTGCATCGCCTGGAGGCTACCCCGCTCTGGGAGGTGGTCATGTTCTGAGCCCTGGAGGCGCCTTTGATAAGAGTCCTGAGTCCGTTTTGAGCCGGTCTCTGGCAGTCTTTTTGAGGTTCGTTCTGAAATGCCGGGGGGCCGGTTCAAGCCCAGTGACTTCACGCTCGATCCCCGCGCGTGGTGCGGTAGCAGTTTGCCCGTAACGTGGCGCCGCGGTGACCTGTTCAGCGGCGCGCTGGGCGCTCTCTGGCGGCGCCCTCTCGACCGTTCCTGAGCCTGGGCGAGCATCTTCGCCCCGCCCGTGCCAGCGCTTGCCACTGCCTGCCACCGCCGCCATCGGCCACCGCCCCCCGCCCCTCCTCCTCTTTGCTTCGAGCCCTCCTGCTGCTGCTGCTCTCCCCTCGAATGAGAGAATGCCGACTGAAACGTGTGATTTAAATCGGCCGCCGTGGACATGCGCGGCCACGCCTACTACGGCTTCCTTAAACGGCGTGCCCTCGCCCACCCGAGGCGCCGCGCCTGCGCCTGACGTGCTCGGCTAGGCGGATCCGGACTCCCCTCGCACGCTCGGCTCCTCCTCTGTACATTTTCAGGGATGGGCGAAAGACTGGACAAGAGCGATGGAGCATTGACCAATTAACACACAGAAGAAAGGAAGTGGATCTTAGCGTGACTGGTTTGAGCGCGAGTGAGTCTGAGTGCGACTGTGCCCAGGAATGATTGAGCTTGAGTGTGAGGCAGTCAGGGTGTGAGAGACTCTGGGCACAGGTGCGCCTGGGCATGAGTGCATCTGAGCATGGGTGGGTCTGAGTGCGGGTGAGTCTGGGTTTTAGCAAGTTTCGGTGCGAGTGGGTCTGAGTTTGGGTTTGGCGGGCCTGACTGTGAGTAGGCGTGGGTCTGGGTCCGAGTGAGTCTGAGCGCGATTGGGTCCCAGCGCGTGTGTAGGAGTTTGAGTGTGAACGAATCTACGTGTGAGTGAGTCTGAGTGTGAGTGGGTCTCGTGGGTCAGCCTGAATATGGATGCATCTCAGTATGGGCGAGTCTGAGTATGAGCGGGCCCGAGTGCGAATGAGTCTGAGTATGAGCAGGTCTGAGTGTGAGCCAGTCTGAGTGCGAGTGGGTCCGAGTGTGGGTTGGTCTGAGTCTGGGTATACGGTACAAGTGAGTCTGAGTGTGGGTGAGATTGTGGGTGATTGAGTATGGTTATGAGTGCGCCCGAGTATGAGGGAGCCTGAGTGTGAGTAAGCCCGAGTGTGGGTGAGTCTGTGAATGAGTATGATGGGTCTGAGGTAGGGCATGGGCAAGGCTGGTTGCGAGTGGGTTTGCGTTTGAGCGCGTATGAGGGCTGGCGAATCTAAATGAACATCTGAGGGATGGCGAGTCTGAGTACGGGTTCGCCTGAGTGAGGGTGAGTCTGAGTATAGCTAAATGAGTTCGAGTGTCAATGAGTCTAGGCATGGGATCGTTTGCGTACGGGCGAGTTCGAGCATGAGGACGTATTATTATGAGTGAGTCCAAGGGGGGAGGAGTCTGAGTGTGGGCGACGCTTGGTGTGAGTGGGTCTGATGATGAGTTTGACACATCTGGGTCAGAGTACGCGTGAGTCTGCGTGTGGGTGGGTCTTACTGTGAGTGAGTCTGGCGGTGTGTGTGTGTGTGTTAGTCTGACTGTGGGTGCATCTGGGTGCGGGCGAGTCTCAGTGTGAGTGGGTCCATATATGGGTTAGCCTGAGTGTGAACGAGTCTGAGCCTGAGTGAGTCAGAGTATGGGTGAGTCTGACTATGAGCGGGTCCGAGTTTGAGTGAGTCTGCGTGTGGGGGAGAAATAGAAGGGGGGAGGTGAGGAGGCGTGAGCGTTCGGAGTGTGAATGGTCGGAGTGCGAGTGAGTCCGAGCGTGAGTACGCCCAGGAAGGATTTAGTTTGAATGTTGGTGCACCTAGGTACGGGAAAGTCTGAGTATGAGCACGTTTAAGTATGAGTGGGCTTGAGTGTGAGTGGGTCTGAATGTGAGCAAGCCTGAGTGTGAGCAAGCCTGCGTATGGGTGGGTCTGATTATGAGTGGCGAGCCTAAGTCTGAATATGCGTGAGTCTGAGTGCAAGGGAGTGTGGGTGTGAGTGTGTGTGTGTGTGAGAGAGAGCGAGTTTGGGTATGAGTGAGTCTGAGTACGAGTGAGTCTAAGTAAAAGTGAGTGTTCGTATGGGTGAGTCTGAGGGCTGGTCAATCTGCATGAGAGCATATGCGAGTGCGAATGAGTCTGAGTGTAAACGAGCCTGGGTGTGAGCGAGTCTGAAGGCGAGCGAGTATGACCACATCCCGCAGGATGCGCGCGCGCGAGCATGAGTGTGAGCGAGTCTGAGGTCAGTGACTCTGAGGCAGCCCCACAATCCGGATGCGAATCCTGGAGTGATCTGACCCCTGGCGCCCCCCCGCAGTGGTGCTGAAGCCAGCGCCTCGCCCGAGACACCCTCAGAACCTGCTCAAGAAACCGATGATACACAGTCCGAACCAGACAAACCGCTAGAGACATCCCCGCAATCTGTGCGCGAGTTCTGGAGATCATCCACCCATGGCGTCCCCCCTCTGGAGTGTTCAAACCAGCGCCCCGCCTAAGACATCCTCGGAGACAGCTCCGACAGCAGAGGATGTTACGGTCCGAAGCAAGCAAACCGCCTAAGGCATCTCCACAACTTGGGCGCGAATTTTGGAGTGTCCCCACCCCTGGCGCCCCAGTAAGACAAGGCAAAGCATAATGGAACACTCGGCTCGTAGATTTGGAGCCAGGGAATCCTGATTACGGAATCCGAAAGAGGAGGACCTTATTCAGGAATTCTCCATGAGGAATCCTTAATCGGGAGTTTTTCCTCGGGAGCCTTTGTCACCGAGTCCTTCGTAAGGTGTCCTCAAGAAGGGTTCCTTAGTGCGTAAATCTTAGTCAGGAGTGTTTATTCAGAACTCCTTATTCAGGACGCTTGGCAGGGCAGAGCAGAGGGTTCCTTCTATCCAGGAAGTGTGGCAGGGCAGAGCCAACCTGGAGCAGAGCAGAAACAGGCACAGCTTGAATCAGAGCTGTAGGCAGCAGGGCCTGGGGCAGAGCACGGCAAGGCAGAGCAGAATGAAGCAGTAGGTTCGTGGACTTGGAGTTGATGAGCTGGCCAGGGAGTCATGATTAACGAGCCCTGAGCAGGGAATCCTTATACACAGAGTCTGTATCAAGGAATCCTCAGCGGTAAACGCCCTGGCAAGCTCTGCGAAGCATTGCTAAGCCTTGCGAAACACAGCTAAGCCCTGCTCAGCCTTCGTCAGCTGAGCAGGGTGTAGCTTACCAATTACCTATGCAGACCAGGGCTTAGCAAGGCTTAGCAAGCTTAGTTGGGCTTGAAGAGGCTTACTAAGCTTAGCAAGGCTTAGCAGAGCTTACCAGGGCTTAACAAAGCTTGCCAGATCATATCAGGGTGGACCAGTACTCAACAGGGCGTAGCAGAGTTTGCCAAGGTTTAGCCGGGCTCAGCAGGGCTTCGCAAGGCCTGCCAGGGCTTAACATGATTTACCAAAGCTTAGCAAGGCTTGCCAAGTTCTAACACGGCTTGTCCAGGCTCAACAATGTTCAAACACATCAACCAACACATGTCTCGTACAACAAACATAACGAAACAAGTATGACGAAATCGCAGGGGGAATTCGGCCCCTGACGCGAAGGAGCCAACGTCTCACTCAATCGATCTCACCCTCGATCTCACTATCGATTCCAATTTCGATGACGCCAGCGATATCACTCGCGACATTACGATCGAGTGGCCATCTGTTTGGCCATCTGTTTATCGATCTCATCCTCAGTCCGCATACCGATCTCATTACCGATATCGTTTTATCGGTCAGTATGACTATCTATGGATCTCACAGTCGGCCTCACTGTCGATTGGTCCATCGGTTTTACTTTCGATCTCACGATCGATCTCGCAATCGATCTCACGGGACACCATGGGACGTCACGGGACACCGCGCCACAGGACACCACAGGACACCGGCGAGACACCCCCGGGCCACCGCTGGCCAACCTGGGGTGTAGAGTCTTTGGATTAAATTTCGCTTTAGCAGCGGCGGGTTCATCCCTTTTGCCCGCCCACGCAGCTACGCCTTGTACGCACGACACGAACACGAAACCGAAACCGATTTCCTGGTGGGGGCTCCCCGTTTCACTTCGAACTCACCCCCCAACTTCTGATATTACCTCTATAAGTATTCAGACCACGATTTGCCCCAATCGCACCGCCGTCAGCTCTAGCTTGCACCAGCGCGGAGATGTAATCCGAGTCGACATGAGCTACTGGCTGGCCTTCGGCCCCGCCGCAGCCCGCCTGCCCCCCCGTGAAGGAGCTCCGCCCCGCGGGCCCCTCCACCGCAGCCCGTGTGGCGGGGAGAAGAGGGAGCCCCCTCGAAGCTACACGGAAGCCCTACCGGGCAGCCCTGGGCACTCGTGGCAGGCCTCCACGGGCCACCATGGGGGGGCACGGCGGCGGCTTGGCTGGCCTCCGGCCCCGCCGCAGCCCGCCCAACGACGACGACGACGAGGACGACGACGAGGACGACGACGACGACGACGACGACGACAAGGACGAGGACGAGGACGACGACGACGACGACGAGGACGAGGACGAGGACGACGACGAGGACGAGGACGAGGACGACGACCACGACGACGACCGCCGCGGCCCCCCCGCGCAGGAGCTCCGCCCCCCGGGCCCCTCCGCCGGGGCGACGGAGGCCCCTGCGGGCGCTGTCGCGGCGGGGCCCCTGGCCGCACCAGCCCCGCCAGGCGGCGCGGCGGCGCCCGGCAGCCCCCAGGAGGCGCCCGCCGGACCCCCCGCCGCGGCGGGCCGCCCCGCCAGCCTCGACCAGACTTGGGGAACAAGAAGTGGCATAAGCATAAAAACTCGGAGGTTCGCGCGGATTGCTCGGATCGGCGCTGGGGCCCCCCTGGCGGCGCCTCCGGCGCCGCCCCTGGCGCGCTCCGCGCGCCAGGGAGGGGGGTTCAGCGCGGATCCGAGAAATCCGCGCGGACCTCCGAGTTTTTATGTTTATGCCACTTTTTGTGCCCCGCCAGCCTCGACCAGACGCAGGAGTGGCCTTTCGCCAGAGTGACCTTTTTGGTGCTGGCCCCATGGTGATCGTTAGGGGCCCGCACGCCCCCCCGCGGCGGGCTGCCCCGCGAGCTTCAACTATAGACGCAGGAGGGGCCTGTCGCCAGAGTGGCCTTTTTGATGCGGGCCCCTATGGTGATCGTTAGGGGCCCGCCCGCCCCCCCCCGCGGCGGGCCGCCCCGCCGGCCTCGATTATAGACGTAGGAGGGACCTTTCGCCGGAGTGGCCTCTGGTGCGGGCCCCTATGGTGATCGTTAGGGGCACAAAAAGTTGCATAGACATAAAAACTCACAGGTCCGCGCGGATTTCTCGGATCGGCGCTGGACCCCACTCCCTGGCGCGCGGAGCGCGCCAGGGGCGGCGCCGGAGGCGCCGCCAGGGGGGCCCCAGCGCCGATCCGAGCAATCCGCGCGAACCTCCGAGCTATTATGTTTATGTCACTTTTTGTTCCCCTAATCGTTTTTGTTATTCATTGTTTTGCCGATCGGCTCGGGCCTTCGCCCCCTCCCCCCTCCCCCCCCCATTAGAGGAGATCTTGTCCGTTTTTGGCGCCTGTTTCAAGCAGGTGTGGTCCACCCCATAGGACGTACCACTGCAAACAGTGGCATTAAGCAGAGGTCCGGAGCCAGACCCCCCCTCCCCCCCCTTCCGCCCAATGTCGAAACGCCGAAGAAGAAAACGTTCGCGTGGGATCCCTGGGTCGTTGAACGCATAGCGGTGGCGGCGGCTTGCGCGCCCAGGGTTAGCCACCCCGCGTCCCCTGTTGAGCCACGCGCCAAGGGTCACTATTGCCCAGGGTCGCTTCTTGCGTGTATCCGATTCTTGTATTTTTCAACAGCGGGCGGCTTCGCCCGGTTTCGGACGCTCAGGCCCGCACAGAGCGATCTGGCTCGAGCGGTGCAGCCGGAGGTTGGGGCCTGTGGGGTTTTGGTGGTGATGTCCCACGATGCTGCATTTGTTCGCGTCGTCGGGCCTCAGGGAGCGCCGCCGTCACAGTCTCCGCTCAGCTCTGGGCGACGCAGGAAAACACCTTTTTGATCCGCGGGTCGAGAGCGCACCTCTTCCGGTCGACGCTAAGCGGGCCGCGCGATGCTTGACTTAGGCGGAGGGAGGTGAGGAGAAAGCGGCGGGGCCTCAGGGCGAGGCCGAGGGGAGGCAAAGCCCCAGAGACGCGACGCAGGAAAACACGACGGTGTGCTTTTCTTCGTTCTCGGCCTCTGGAGGCCGCTTCCCGGTCGGGGGGGGGCGTCGGAAATCTCTTCTCCCGGGGAAGTGAAGGCCCGGCTTCGGGGAAGCGGTCGAAGCCCCGCGGGGGGGCCAGCGCCACAAGCAGATTGCCACGCCGTAGGTGAGTCGGGGAAACGGATAACTCGAGTAGGCCGGAACTCGGGTTTGCCGACGCTTTTTTGACGACGCGTCCTGGGTTTTGACGGTCCTGCTTTCGTGGGGTGCTTGCTGTGGGAGCTCGCGTCAAATTTCAGACTGAGTCTCGTCTCGTCAGTTTCATGATGGCCCCGTCAGGCGAGCTAGAGCCCCCCGAACCCGACCGAGTCTCACGTCTCCCTGAGCGAGAGTCACAGTCTCCAGCGCTGCCGCCAGCCGCGCGCCGCCGCCGCGGCTGGCCAGCCGCCCCGCGCCACCCGCCAGCCACCCTGCGGCATCCGGGCCATCCGCCGGGTGCGGGCCACCGAGGTGAGAAGAGCACGCGTGGTGCCGATGTCCCGACGCAGGGTCCATTTTGATCTGCTCGGTCCGATTCGCCGTCGATCTTGGCCAGCCTTCGTCTGGTTCCAGTCGGATGTTCCGACGATGCGGTGTGGCCCGTTGCTTGCGCGGTGCTGTTCTTCATTCTGGTTCTGCCGATCCGATTCGATTCTGACTCCATGCCGGTGAAGCCCGATAGGAGGCACGCTCCGATTCGACCCAATTTCCGCATTCGGTACTGACGGATCCTGCCCATTCGGCTGCCGGGCTGGCTTACGGTCTGTTCCCAGTTCCACATTCCCTTCTTCCCTGTTCCTGCCCATTTTCTTCCCTATTCCGACTTCACCTCTTCTCTCTCCTCCTTCCACTCGCCTTCTTCCCTTCTCCGACCTCCCTCCTACCGAATCCTCCGAGATCCCCCCCAAGAAGCTCAATCAAATTGCATTATCCATTGCTGAGGCCGTTTCTGGGTGGTGCCCGGGGCACGGCTCTGGAAGACCGCGAAGGACGGCACAGAAGTTGCCCGACCATCGTGCTCAGGCGAGGCCATTCGGAGAGTTGTCGGAAAGGCCTTGTTGGCGACAGAGATGGACGCTTTGCGAGTTCATCTCGAACCTCTGCAGCTGGCGGTCGGCGTGCGCGCCGGCGTCGAGGCCATGCTGCACTTGGCCCGGCAGTGGCAGCAGGACTTCGCGCACGACTTGGGATCGGGTGTTGGCCAAAAGCGACCAGGCAAATGTGCACAAAGAGGTGGACCGACACACTTTCCTGACCCGGATGCGCGAGGTGGCCCCCAGCATCGCGCGATGGATCGATTTCATATACCCCACGGACGTCCCCACGATGGTTCAGAGCGTGAATTACCTACCCCGCTTTCGCTTCCAGGCAAAACCAAGTCATACCACGCGCCTCCTCGTCAAGCGGCCTGACCAGCGCAGGCCGTAGTTTGGCGTCGCTTGGTATCTCTTGGAAGCGAGGGTGGTCAAAAGCGAGGTAGGTTTGTTTGCGCCCTAATGGTGTTCTGCCGAGCCTCTAAGGTAGCCCACGTTGCCCATGCGCCGAAGCTGACCCCCCATAGCACCGCCTGGTCTTGGCCTCCGACTGCCCCCAGACTGCCCCAGGCTGCTGAAGCCCCTGGGCACAAGCGGCCATCGGGCGGTGCGCGGGGTCGCTGCGCCCGTAGCGTGCTTGCGCTGATCGTATG